CGGCTTGGTAAAGCCCCAGACACGAAAGGCCTCCTCGCAGAGATGCTCAAAGAAGGCACAGATGAACTCAGAGGTGCACTTCTCCCCCTCTACAACACGATCCTGCAGCGCGAAGCCCCGCCGCCAGCCTGCTGGAAGAGCACAGTCATCACAGTCGTACCAAAAAGTGATAATCTCGCGTTGTTCAAAAGTACCGCCCCATTTGCACGATACCATTGTAGTGCAAGCTAGTCAGCCGACTACTGTACAACAGGCTACAACCGACGCTTGGCTCACACCAGACTGCCGAACAGGCGGGCTTCAGGCCGGGCCATTCGACCACTGACCACCTCTTTACTTTCCATTTATTGCGCGAGCGCGCAAGCGAATGGGGCCAAAACCTCTGGGTCGCAGCACTCGACTTCAAAAAAACTCTCGATTCAGTTGAGCACAAGAGCATATGGGCAGTGCTGAAGGCACAAGGGGTCCAACCTCGATACGTTGCACTACTCCAACAGCTCTTTGAGGGACAGAACCACGGTGAGGACAGACGTCTGCAGCAGACCCTTTAGCCTCCTGCGGGGCACGAAGCAGGGAGACCCACGCAGCCCCCTACTCTTCAAAGCTCTTCTACCGTACATCCTTGGACCGCTGGTTTCCGAACATCAGCAAAAAAGGAAGGGAGTTGAATTGGGATCCGCGAGCACCGCCGCGCTGACCAACCTGCGCTTCGCCGACGACGTGCTCCTGACCAGCCAAACTCCCCCGCGCCTGACAGCGATGCTTGACGACATTGCGCGCGCGACGAGGCTACGCGGGCTCGAACTACACTCAAGCAAAACCAAAATATTGAGCAACCAGACGAGAAGGACCGGAAGGGCGAGCTCACGCACAGCACGTTTCCAAGACATTGATGTAGACATCGTTCCATACGAGGGCAGTATAAAATACCTCGGCCACTTGATCAGCTTCCACGAACCGATGAAATCGAAAACCCACCACCGCGCGCGAGGTGCCTGGGCATCATTCGCGTCTCGCAAGCAGGAGCTGACCAGCAAACGCTACCCACTGGCTCACCGACGTCGACTTTTCAACAGCACTGTAGCACCTACAGCGTTATACGGAGCAGAGACGTGGACCCTCACGGAGTCTCTACGGCAGCATCTACGACGGACACAACGACGCATGCTTCGCATGATCATCAGAACGCCGCGGAGACGCACAACAAAAAAAAACGACCCTCACGACGGCCAGGGACCTGGTCTCGACTTTGGACGCCCGGAATGGGTACCGAAAGAATGGGTACAATGCCCAACAACAAATGTTGCCCCAAACCAACAGCGGCCGCTGTTTGGCAGGCAGCCTTCTGTTTCGAATGGACACAGGCTGCGGCGGCGCGGACAGCGAGTCCTGTTCAAATGAACAGGAACTGCTGTTGGGCATTGTACCCATTCTCTCCGTACCCATGTCGGGCGTCCAGATCGACGGCGCGAACAACGAAGCACAAAACCACGAAGACCGCGCCAACAGCATTAGCGACGACGCAGACAGCAACCCATCACAGTGTGATGCACCTGACACGCCCGACAAGCACAGCGAAGACGGCGAAGACAGCACCACCGCAGACGAAATGGAACCATGGGTCGACTACACCCAACGAGCGACACGACGCGCAGGGCACCTCATGAAGTTCCACCACATTGACACCTGGGAGACGCTGCACAAAGGGAAAGTCTGGCGCATGGCTTCACGAGTCGCAAACCACGGCTGGACGAGGTGGACATGGCGAGTGCTGCGTTGGCACCCAGTCTTCAACCCGCGCCAGCGGGGACACAGGCAACACGGTGGCCAAAACAAGAGCTGGTACGACCTACTTGCGTCAACGCAGACCAGACTTCCACCGACCGCCCACGCAATTCCATTCGAAAGGACAACCGAACGACATCACATGGTCAGAGGCCAGCAACATATGTACACGTACGCGGTTAGTTTCCCCCGGAGTGCGTGTCAACGCGGACGTTCGTGCAGGCAAGACCGCGGAGGGCGTACATGTACATATGTCGTTGCTCGCCCACATGGACGCAAACAGCCCAGGACACCGAAGCATGGACAGCGCTCGAGCACCACTTCACCGACCTCATGTCGACCAGCACTTGGGACTCAGACCAATGACGTAGAATCTTTGCGAACGTCGAGACGTCTCGCCCAACCCGCGCCGACACCGACACCAAGGACTTGTTGTTTCCTCCTCCTCCCCCTTTCCTTCTAATTTCTAGCATGTCTCGCACTGCATGAGTCCTGACACATCAGATCCTAGAGGCCATGGCCTCACCCACCTGGTCTGCTCTAGGCCCGGACGCTGTCCGCAACGGTGGTCGCATCGCATCGCTTCGCATGGAGGCATCCTTGGTGGGTGTTGCATGGATCAAGTAAGGAATACCAAAAGTAAGCTTTCGGGGTTCCGCGCGGATTTCTTTGATCAGCGCTGGGCCCCCCTCTGGCGGCGCCTCGGGCGCCGCCCCTGGCGCACTCCGCGCGCCGGGGAGGGGGATTCAGCGCAGATCCGGCAATCCACGCGGACCCTGGAACTTTTATGTTTATGCCCCAGTGCCTAGTGATTATTTTAGGGATCCCTTGGGAGCCTCTTGAGGATCTCGGGGCCGTCTTGGGATTTGGGCGCGAGTGTTCCCCCCCGCTCTCCCGAAACAACTCGGTCGAAGCATCTCAGGGCCGGGGTCTTCTCGGCGGATCTCGGGGCAGTCTTCTCGAGGCGGGCCGTCTTGTTTTCTTTGGGGAGGGCTGTCTTGGTGCCTTGTTGTGACCGTCTTGGTGCCGTGTTGTGGCTGTCGAAGGAGGAAAGCGGTATAAACATAAGCTTTCGGAGGTCTGCTCGGATTTCTCGGATCGGCGCCTGGGCCCCGCTGGCAGCGACGCCCAGACGCCGATCCGAGAAAATCCGCTCGGACCTCCGACGGTCGGAGCCTTCTGAAGCCTCCCCGCAGTGTCTGAAGAAGCACGTGCACAGAACGTCCGTAGCTGTCTTGCCTTGGCCGCCCTGGGCCTCGCTGGAGGCCTCCCTGCAGACCCCCCGGGGACTCGGAGGCCTCCCGGGATGTCGTGGGCTCGTCTAGGATCCCTGGACGACCTGGGTGCACCGTACCGCGTTGGCGTCCATCGAGGCGTCGTCGATCCCCGACCTGGGAATCGTACGGCGCATCTGCTCGGCCTTCATTGGCGAAGAACTACGTACCGTACAGCGTTTGAGCGAGGCCTGCAGGCGCTTTCGAAGCGGATCGACTGTACTGGAGCCGATTCGAAGTGGTCGGGCCGCCGACATTGGGAAACTGAGTGGGGCTTTTTGGGACCGAAAGCCCAGAAGTCCAGGGCCACCCATCAGACTTGGGATCATCTTGGAGTCTCGCAGGGGGGACGCGGGGCCGTCTTGGTGCTGGCCCTGGTGCCGGAGGCGACGATTGAGGCAAACAGCGAAGGGGGGAGCAACACATGTATCCAGGGGCGCCGACGATCCATGTCTTCGTCGAGGCTCTCGTGCGAATACGTGTAATGCCCGCCCCTGGGCTATTTGCCCTTATTCGGCCACCCGCAAGGCCGGCGCCTTCTAAGAAGCAGCCTCCCTCTAAGAAGCTTTCCCCCCCTCCCCCTCCCCCCCCCCTATGTGCGCCGCCAACCTATCGACGTGCGCGCCCTGCGGCCGTCTCGGGGAGGCCCTGGCCCACCTCGGGGGGTCGCGGCCCTAGTCCGTCGGAGGGCGGTGATCTCCAGGGAGGGGGGTTCGCTCGTGGAGTAGAGGAACGGGTACTGTTTTGTTCCCCTAGTCTGGCACCCTCCAGCGTGCCGAGAGCACAGCGGCGGGTTTTGCTCTCTGGCCTCATGGTGTTGCGCCCCAAGGGCGCTGCTTCTAGGGGGCGGCAGAGAGGGGGGTGATGACAAGCCAGGGGGTTCATATCATGGCCAGGGATAGTCTCCCAGGATTTCATGGCGTCCCTTATTCTTTCAATATATCCCCTGGCTCCACCTGCGCCGCGCACATACCTCGGGCCATGAGTTGCAACCCCCCCTCGTGGACGTCGGACACCCTGGCCTCTTTGTAAGAAACGAGCACAAACACGACTTGGTTTGCGTTCCGTTCAGGCTCTCGGCGGCACAGTGGTGACCGATGGGTGGAGCTGTCGGCCCTGCACAAGCGAAGGCGCCCTCACGGTTGTCCTCTCAATCTTCTGCGTGTCGTGCCGTGTGTTTTCCCGTTTGTTCGTGGCATGTCGCCCTTGGTAGACATGTGCGTCCTCTCGGGTGTCCTTATTTTCGGTCGCGGCTGTATTGACTGGACTGAAGTGCTCTCAGGTTCATCTTGCCGTTGCGCAGAACTCTTAGGCTGCCCGTGACCATCGAAGAAATGGTCCGGCATGATGTGAACGTAGGGAGGCCAGCTTTGCCCATGAGCGGCGAGTGGCCAGATCGATGAAACTGTAGCCGAAGGGCTGCACATCGGCTGGTCAGGAGGGCGACAGAGGAGTGGGGGAATGGAGGTTGTTTGTGAACGGTATCGTGCGTGATTGTACAGCAGTATATAACAAGCTCGGATGTGATGCGATTTGTCCATTCGTGGTTGTCTTGCCGTTATGGCAAGGGAGACCGTGAGTCTCGAACCTGTTTGTGCGTCCACTTTATTTGACCAGTGCAATTTTTTCAACGCTACTGTAGCCCCCCCCCATGGAGCTAATAATCGGCGTGCTGGATGAGGGAGGACCCCGCTTCTGGGCGCCCTGCTTCTGGATGCCCCTTGCTCTCCCTGGAGCGCAACTGCTCGCGCGACGCGCTCTCCAACGCACCGCAGCACGTCGCCTCGAGCCTCTCTGGCCAGACGTCGTCGCCGCTTGCTTAATACCCCTGCGCCCGTGGGCTGTGCCTTGCCCCGCGGAGCCAAGCGGTGCGGCCGCGCGGTGCGGCCGCGCGTTGCCGGCACGGATGGCCTGCGCGAGGTCCGCCAGGCCCTGGCAGGAATGAGCGGGAGATTGGGGGATCGGCCACATGCGGAGGTGGTAATAGGGGAAGGGTGGAAGGTCCTGAGAAGCACTCCTGCTTCTTAGGTTAGGCCAACGGGAGGAGGAGGATGAGGAAGAGAAGGGGGAGGAGGAGGACGAGGAGGAGGAGGAGGAGGAGGGTGAAGAGGAGCGGAAGGAGGAAGAGCAGGAGGAAGAGGACTAGAGTAAACTCCGCGGGCGGCCTGTATGTACCGTGCCGCGGTTGCGTCTGCCGAGTCGTCGTGAATCCTCGGCCCAGGGATGGTACGGTGCATAGTCGTTCGGCACCTGAGCGTCGCACCGCGTTGGAGCGGGACCTGAAGGAAATCCAGACATGGCACGGTGCATGTGCGCTTTTCTCGTATATATCCATTATGCACCAGCGATGTTGCAAGACACCCTCCCGTCCAAAGTCCCTCCCCATACTGCCCTGCAACCTTGTTAGGTCACTACCAAAAGTGCCTCTCTTGAAAGGCCCGCGCCGCAAGGACATGCCATTTTGGCGAGTGCCCCGTTTTGAAAAGATCTGCCAATGGTGTGTAAGTAGGGTTCCAAATAATATTGCCAGACAATTGAACGAGGTTCCCAGCGATATTTTCCTTGCGAAAGAAAGGGCCGCTCCCATATCCATGCATGTCTTGCGCAGCTTTACACTTGTGGTCATGAGCTTCGAGGAATTCTCACGCGAAGGTTCTATTTTGATAATGAGCCGCCCTCGATCCGCGCATTGCGTGGCGCATTGAAATTGCGGGTTTCAAAGTGTAGGGAGCCTCAAGCCAAAGCCTCAGTTCGAAAAAGAACCGGCCCCCATCATTCTAACGGATGCAAGTTCTGAGAACGATTGAGCGCTGCGCTAAGGCGAGGACGCCGTTTATGTTTTCAAACGAGCGCGGCGATGCTAAAGCGATAGCCCCATTCTGAAGAAAAACTGCCCTCCATCCGATCAGCTTCGCCCAAGCATACTTTTACTCGGCGTGCGTCGCCCCCACATGGTCGATTCGCGCGTTCAGGAGTCTTATAGTACATGCTCAGTGCCTAGCGCTCGCTTGTCGTACCACTGGGGGGTGACGACTTCCTATCACATTGTTGTGCTATCCAATCTGGTCGAACGCACGACCCCAAGAAGGGCACACGGTAGTAACCGTTGAAACAAGTTATCGCCCCCCCCCATTTCGGGGAAATTGCATAGCGTCTCGTCCTTGAGCGTGATATCCCGCCCCCAGGACCCTCACTGCGGCATCCCACCACCATCATGGTAGAATTTCAACAAGTCCCCGATCGGTTTCCAATGAGAGCCCCAATGGCCAAGGGAAACAAGGCCACTAACTATCTGATCGATTCTGACCCTGACCAGACTTTGATAGCGTGCAAGGAGGATCCCAGATCCCATGAGGACTCCCCCTTGGGACTCCCCCGTAGGGTTCCTCAATCTGAGTTCCCAGTCGGATTCCTTCAGGAAGCCGCCCACATGGGCCCACCCCGCGCCATTTGGCTCCCCGCCCCACAGGATTCCTGGAGATTCCTTTCGGATTCCTGAAGGATTCCGGGCTTCTGCTGAGGATTCCCGGCGGACTCCTGAGGACTCGTTTTTCCCGCCGCCCCTCGTGGAATTATTGAACCTCGTGGGGTGCTAGCGATATCCGTGGAGGGCGCAGTGGAACACGTCGCGAGAGCCAGCGTGACTCCTGCTGATATTGAGACGCAGTTGGCCTCGGACGACTTACGGCCGTTCCGACGCTGCGCGGCGCTGCGTGCCCGGCGGGGTTTTCAGCTCGCTGCCGCCGCGGCCACGGGCCAGATTACCGACGCGCAGCTCGAATGTCGGACGCGCCGCAAGCTGGGGCGTCGGGGGGTCCCGCAGTGCCCGCAGATCCGCACTCTGCGAGATATTCAAGTGTTTGACTCCTGCGTCAGTTACTGCCCTCCCGCGCGCGGCTGGCGGCGCAGCGCGCCTCGTGGAACGGTTGGAACACGCGCCGGCGATGCCCGGGCAGGCCCGGCAGCTTGAATAGCAATAGATTCTATCCGGGCTGGGCGCGACAGAGTCGACGAGGCGTTCTCCGGCGCGCTCATACATATTGAGTCTTGCGCGTTCGCGGCTGGGGCCGGCGCGGCCCGCGGCGCCGGCGGATTGCCCACTGTGCTTCCTCCATATTGGACGCGCCGCCGCGCGCCGTCGAGTTCGCGGCCGAGCTCCTCGCGCGAACAGCGCCGCGCGCGGCCGCGGCCTGCAGGGCGCATTGCATTGCGCGGCCTGGGGGCGCGCTGCCTGGGGGGCGGCTTGCCGAGCGCTGCAGCAACCCGCGCGCCGACTAGTGCGCGGCCGCGCCGAAGCCCAACGCGCCCTGGGGCTTCGCGGCTGAGCGCCCCCCGCAGCCGCGAAGGCTGCCGCCGCTTCCGCGACCGCCAACCAGCGCAGCCACGTCGACGACCGCTTCCTTCGCCACCTCCACCCCGCGGCGCGCGTCACACATTGACCTGGCGTCCCAGAGGCGGCGCGTCCACTCATTTCCCGCGGGCGGCTTTCCCCGTCGATGATCTCCGCCGCGCCCGCCGGCAGCGCCGCCCCAACCTCCCGCGCCATTTTGGAAGTCCAGTCCCAGCTGTTCCCCCGGGGCCCGTGGATATTGCCAGGATTGCCTTGCCGCCCTGGTCCGCGCGGTGACGAGCGGTAGTTCGACGGCGGCGCCGCTGCGGGTTTAAATATCATTTTGCGCGCAGCCCCCTCCGCCACGAACGTTGTCTTCCGCGTCGCGACGCGCGCCGCCTCCCCCTCCCCGCCGCGCCCCCGCCGCCCCAGTGGAACCCCCGCCCCGTGACCCTCTGCCCCGAGCCGCCCCGCGTCCCCAGCGCCCCAGTGGGATCTCCGCCCCGTGCCACCTCCGCCCCGAGCATTCTATTCCGCGTCGCGACGCGCGCCGCCTCCCCACCCCGCCCCCAGCGCCCCGGTGGGCGCCCGTGGCCCTCCGGCTATTTTATTCCGCGTCGCGACGCACACCCCCCCCCCCTTCCCCCCGCGCCCCTGCGCCCCAGCGCCCCAGTGGGACCCCCGCCCCGTGCCTTTCCGCCCCGACCACTTTATTCCGCGTCGCGACGAACACCGCCTCCCCCCCTCCTCTCCGCGCCCCCAGCGCCCCAGTGGGACCTCCGCCCCGTGCCCCCTCCGCTCCGAGCACTTTATTCCGCGTCGCGACGCGCGCCACCTCCCCCCCCCCCATCTGGGATCCGGGCCACGCTGTTGGCCCCGAGGGGCGATGTCTTGCCCCCTTCCCCCCCCCCCATTCCGCCCCCCCCCCCCCCCTCCTCCCCCTTCCTTTTTGCGCAAGAGCCATGGCGCACGTGCCACTTGCTCTGCGCGCGGCGCAGCGCGACAGTGGAGCATGACGACACGCTGAACGACAAGCCCACAGCTCCGACATGAGCTTCGGGCGCAGCGCCGCAGCGCCCCTGGCGACGGAGACGCACGCCATGAGCTACGTTGCGAGTGCCAGGCGCATCACGACGGCTACCGTGAGCAGCAGGGTGGATATTTCTATCAGCGCGACAGATATCACGAGCTGCGCGAGCAATGCCACAAGCGCGACGGATATCATGGGCACCGCGGCCGGCACGAGGAGCAGCGCGACGGGCGCCACGAGTAGCACGACGGGCGCCAGGAACAGCGCGAAGCAGCAGCAGCAGCACGACGGATGCCATCAGCAGCACGACGAATCCCACGAGCTGCCGAGGATGGGCTGGCATCCCCAGAATAGATGCGTAGGTTTCTGCTGAAATCTAAGCTTCCAAATGTTCTGCCACTTCCTAGCGCGTCGTGTTTTGAGACGGACAGGGCGGGCAAACCCTGCCCCCCCCGCCCAGCGCGCGTTTTAACCATCCAGCATTCAAGGTGTCCGGGCACGACTTCAGCACGTGCTTGAACTCCGTTTCCGACGCCAGGTCCGACTCCAACTCCCGCGCCCGCCCCGCTCCCAGGTTCGCTTCCAATGCCGATGCCGGCAACCGCGGAGGCAGCCGGCTGGATTGGCGATGTCGCGAGGTGCGACTCCTGACGCCTAGCAGATGCCACCATTTTCGGCAAGTCCTGAGGGCGTCGACGGCGACGCCACTGTCAGTGCCCGCGGCAGCCCAGAACGAGTCGAGCGCAGTTCCCACGACAATGCCGACCACGGCACCGCCAGCGCTTCCGCCAGCGCCGACGCTCGCGTCGATGCCAGCACCAAACCTGGCACTTACGCCTGCGCCAGCCATGGCACTGGCGCCGGCACTAACGCGTGCGCCTACGCTTGCACCGACGGCATCGCCAACACTGGCGCCTACGCCAGCACGCACGCCAGCGCGGGAGACTGCGCGAGCGCAAGAGCCTGCTCCTGCTCCGACGCCAGCGCCGACGACGGCCCCGACGTCGGGGCCTACGCCAGCGCGGGCGCCACCAGCAACGGCGGTGCCAACTGAGATCCTCATCGATGCGTCTGGGCCGCGTTGATTCGTCGATTATAAATCAACGCATTTTTGGCTTACCATATGTTGCCAAAAATCGTGCGATCCGTCGCGCGCGAGCGCCCTCCTGCCCTTTCGGGCTGGGCCGCGGCAAAAAAAACACAAGAAGCAGACGAATAACAAGAAAATGGTAATACTATTATATATACAAATAGATATCTACTAATTTAGTTGTAAGGCAAGGCAGAGGAGGAGGAGGAAGGGAAGGAGGAGGAGGGCGAGAGGAGGGAGGAGGAGGAGGAGGAGGAGGAGGAGGAGGAAAAGGAGAAAAAGGAGGAGGAGGAAAGGGGGGAGGAGGAACGTTTGAAAGAAACTGACATTCTGAACTTCCTTCTTTATTTCGAACGGGAGGAAGCGAAAGGAAGGAGGAGGAGGAGGCAGAGGAACGAGGCGCGGAAACACATGGAGGAGGAGGAGGAGGAGGAGGAGGAGGAGGAGAAAGAGGAGGAGGAGGAGGGAGCAAAACGAGGAGAAGGAAAAAGACGAGAGGGAGGAGGGGAGGAGGAGGAGGAGGAGGA